CCCTCCCCCCCTTCTCAGCCCCACCCACCCTCCATTATTTTTGAAAAATAAATTAAAAATTAATATTGGAATTTTTTTATTTTTTAGCACAATTTATAATTTTGAGTAGAAGTGAGAAGTGAGTGATCTATTATGAGTCTATATGGATCCCCATATTGTACCCATTTTGATCATATTTGTAGGAGCTCTTAAAATAGCTTGAAGCCCATATTTACCTATCTAAAATATGAGTGATTCAAGTCATTAAATATGGGTAAAATGGACTCATTTCATTAATATGGGCTGAAATTGTCACCCTGACTAAGAATGGTGTTTGGATTGCCTTAAAAGTTGATCAACTCTACATTTAAGTTAGTTTTTGACTTTTGGAAGTGTTCGACAAATATTTTTAAAATGACTTAAAATAAGTTGAGGAGTGTTTGGCAAGGTAAAAAATGACTTAAAATAAGTCAAAAATCAAAAATAGGTCTCCCCTGCTTTTTATTTTTTGACTTAAAAGTCATTTCAATTTGACTTTTTATTTTTTACTTAAAAACTGCTCTCTTTGTAAGGCAATCCAAGCAGGCTCTAAAAAGTTACTCTTTAATAATTGTTTGTTTAATTGATCTCAAGGGTATTTGCTTAACATTTTGTGTTCTTTTCTTAATTTTAAATTTCATACTCTTATTGAAATACTTATTGCTTGTGCACAAAAGTTAAACAAGTCTATTATTAAAAAATGAGGCTTAATGATATAGCTAGTCAATTAGGAGAGAAGGAGGTTTTTGAGGGGTTTAATATTTTCTTAGGAAAATAGTGATAGTTAAGTGATATTTTTGTCTTAAATAAAGTAAAAATGATATTTAAAAATACTTTTTGAAACTTGAATGACCATTTAAAAAATTAACTCGTGTAGAAAGCTTAGCTCGCTGAACTTCTCCATTCTATACTTAAAGCTGAAAATCCAGCTTTACAATATGTGAGTGAGGTGAATGTTGGAGTTGAACTTTGATTGTTCTTTTTTACTGAAAAATGAAATTATGCATTTTGTGTGTGTTTTAAAGACGGAGTCAGAATTTTTATTTAGGGGATCCAAAATATAAAAAAGTAAATATAAGAAGAGGTCAAGGGTGTTAAAGAGTGATTCAAAACGATTGACTGAATTGGGACATGGGTAGTTTAGTAGAACTAGTCTTTGGGTCTTTGTTAGGTAGTTTTCTATATTTACTCAAGTTTTATTAGTGTTGATGATTAAGTGTCATAGTGGGTTACAGGACCTATATTTTAGGATTAGTTGTTTATCTCTTAGCCTATATATCATGGGGGCATATTTTGTTATTTCTGTACTTCCAATTAATCTTACATTAAACGCAATCGCAGTTTTCCTTCTCTTTTTATTATTTCCAGATTTCTCTGTACTTTTTCTCCAACAAATTTGGCATCCGAGCCAGCCATGGCAAGTAGCAATAGTGCATTGTATGTGGCACAACCACTCATTCCTGTCTTCAAGGGAGAAAGCTACGAATTCTGGAGTATCTGTATGAAAACTATACTAAAATCTCAAGATCTTTGAGACTTGGTAGAATGTGGATTTGCAGATCCTGACGAAGGAAACAAACTGCGAAGCAACAAGCAAAAAGATGCTAAAGCGCTGGTTTTTATTCAATAGGTTGTTCATGATAGTGTCTTTTCACGAATAGCAACAACAACCACATCCAAACAAGCCTGGACGATTCTCCAGAAAGAGTTTCAAAGTGATTCAAAGGTCATTGTGGTGAGACTGCAATCACTTCGACGTGATTTTGAAACCTTGATGATGAAAAGTAGAGAATCCATTGCTGGTTTTTCGTCAAGAACAACGATAAGTTTTAGTCAAATGCGATCCTACGGAGATAAGGTAACTAATCAGACCATTGTGTGAAAGGTATTGCGAAGCCTAACTCCAAAATTTGATCACGTAGTTGCTGCGATAGAAGAATTCAAGGATCTATCCGTCTTTTCCTTTGATGAACTGATGGGATCTCTTCAAGCTCATGAGGCGAGAATTAATTGATCCACAGAAAAGAATGAAGATGAGGCATTCCAAGTTAAAGATTCAGCCACCAAATATGGAGAAAATACTGGTCTAGCAAGCAGAGGTCGAAGAAGATGAGGCTTT